ATTAGATTAAAATGTATTAAGCTCTTTATTTTAGTCAAAAATTTCTCGGAACCTGATTTTCCTAGAAACACTCCCATATGTAACTGAATACATAGATGCATATACTAATATGCGTTAAAAAACTAGTTGATTGATCTGTCAATCAGCGTTAATTATGCCTAAATACTAGGTTTAAAGAACAAATGAATGCAAATAAAATCAGAGATCAACAGAAACTTGACTTTCGCTGATAGGCCTATAATAAATACTGTCTTACGTCTTCAAATTTAGGGGCCCTTATACAAGTAAGGAAGTAGTTAATCAGTAATTAGTAGATTAAGTACCTCTTACAGGTAGTTATAGTATAATAGACTGCATTACACTGTCGTAGCATCATCTAATTAAGCTGTCACTAGGGGTAGAGGCCAGGTTCACTTCTCAGGTAAATTTGATAATATAGGTACGACAGCCACCTACCTTTTTGAGGTTCTAAAATAATGTCTAAGCTTTTTTGATTATATATAAATATACCCTAATACTAGGTAAAGGTAATAGTGATTCAGATATAGTGTTGGTAAGCACAAAAAAAATCTGACAAAGTACCTGTGACTGAAGTAATCCTTCTATCTAAATTTGACAGCGGTTCTGAGGTTTAGGGACTTTAAGGGCTAGCTCTTAGGAATGTCGATCTAGATGACAATCTTTAGACTAGTATTTACGAATGGATTCTAGTTAGACCTTTGGTTCTAGTCATAACTTTAAGGATCTCTAAGGATGAGTCGAGGTTTAATATATCAGTAGTACTACCTGCTAATAGTTTTCTAGTATCAGATACTAAAACTTGAAAAAAAAATTATATAAAAGAATCATTATTTTAAACCTTTAATACCTTAATAATAAAATAATAAAAGTTTATTTCTTTAATAATAAATGAATATTTGTATTTGACATTGAATATAAAAGTATGTTTAATAGCTATTTAAAAATATTGATTAAATAAAATTATGTTAAAATATATGTTTGATTAATTTGATTTTACAGAAATTTTAAGAAACTTATAATGATAAAATAATTGAATAAAAAGTTTAATAATAATAAATTATAATAAAGAACATAAAATTAGAAAAATAAATAAATAAAAGAAAAATGAAATAAATTAAAATTAACAAATAAATGAAGATAGATGAAATTAAACAGAAATAAGAAAATAAAGAATATATTTTATTACTATAATTGAAAAATTAATAAATGAAAATTATATTAATACAGAAAATGTGAATTCTATTGATAATAATAATATAATTGAATAGAGAATCTAACTAACAAAATAATAAATTTAATAAATTTATGAAAGAATAAGATGATAAAGAAAAGGAATGCATAGAAGAAAATTAATAGATAATGATACTAAAATTATGAAAATTAAAAATAAAAAAAATAACGAAATAAAGAATTAAATATAAAATAAATTAAAATAAATTAAATAAATAAAAATTAGATTCTTAGACAAATAAAAATTAATTTATAAAAACAAATCCTTTTGAAAACAAATAGCAAAAATAGTTTAAAAAGATACAATTTTTGTTAAAGCTATTAAACTCAGAAAATATCAATAATTTGTATAAATAGAGTTTTAACTATTATAATGATAATAAAAGTAGTAGAATAGTATATTTAATTTAAACTTATAATATAAATTACATAGTATTCTAGTCTTCTAATTTAGTAAAATTAAGTTATACATAAAGATAATTTTAAAACATATACCTAGTAATTTGATTAATATTATATAGAATTATGTATATATAATTAGCATTAAATTATTAGAAATTTTTTTATTAGAAAATTATCTTACATAGATTTTAATATATTATTAAATTATATATAAATTCTTTTATCACATAAATTATAATTATAAAATTAAACATATTGTTTTATAAAATATATAATATATAATATCTTTCTAATTATAATTACTACTCTAAATTAATTTATTAGATTAAATTATTAAATATTTGTAATATTTATATATTTAAAATAATTAACATCTATTTTATATATTTAAAAAATTATTTCTTTTTATATTTCTTTTTGAATAAGAGTTTTATCATCAACCTTTTATTTCTATATTATAATATATTGTATTATATTAGAATTAATTAAGATATCTTTTTTATTAAAACTTAAAATCATATTTAATATATAAAATAAATTTATTATTATTTTTTTAATAACTTTTACTCTTCACTTAAAGTATTTAATATATTGTATATTACTAAATTATAATACTAATAAGAGTAAATTTATTTATTGCAGATATGATATCATCACCTCCTTTTTGTCAATTATGTCACCCCTCTCTTTTTCATTTTCATATATTCTGAGAACTTAAAAATTTTTTTATATATGAAATTCTATTTGTCATATAAGTTAGTATCACATAGTTTAGAGTTAGGTTAGGGTTAAAGTTAGGGTAAGGTATATATATAAAGGCAATATATAAGGATTTACTCTATAATAATCTATTACTTGAAAATGTAAAAAAATTAGCTAAAACTTTTAATAAAATCTTTTTTAATATCAAAATTTCAAATTAATAAAAAATAGTTTTAAATAGTACTTACAAATAATTTCTTTACTATATAAAATGATTTTTAAATAAAGTTTTTTATCATAAAAACATTTTTTTTTCTTAGATTATTTCAATAAATAGGCGGTAATCAATAGAAAAGGGAGAAATCTAAATTTTGTTAATGTTTTTTTTATTGGTCCACTTGACTGATCACAGTCATGTGCTCAATTTAGCTTGGAAACTAAAATTTCAGATTTTCCCCTTTATTTACTGACGCCCTCCCAAATATTAAGATAATCCTGATGCTTTAATTTGTTTTGAATTATTTCCAGCGGCAGTTGCAAACAGCTTCATTTAGCAAAAAGTAAATTTTTTTTTTTTTTATATTTATTACAAGATGTCAATTAATTGAATTATAATCACATACCGTAAGTCAATATTTTGTTTATTCATAAAAAAAAAGTAAAAGAAAATCATTACGCTTATTGGTAATTACTTTATATGGAGTAGAATAACCCTATTAATCTTTAAATGATGAAATACAAATCTTTATTGTCATGACCAATTTGAACGAAAGCATTATTGTGGAACATATATTTTTCTTTTTTTCTTATGGTAAATGGACAAACCGGATGTACATAATTTTGACAATTTACAAGCTAAACGACAAAAATTGATTTACGTTTTAACTTAATGCATATACATTCCTTTGCATTTCCACAATAAAGTTTATTTATCGAAATAAATTACACTTAAAAAATTATCTTTTAAATGCAACCATAACTTTAATAAAACAATTTATGGTAATTCATAAAGATAAGAACTGTAATTTGTTGGGGGAAACAGAATCCAGGAACAGCCAAATGAAGGAAATTCACGCTTTTGTACATTATTTTTATACGGATTTAAGTCTTGATCTCGTTGGCGCGTCAACATTGGTTTTTCTTTTGCATGACCAACTACAATTGAATAATTTAAATAATTTTCTTTTTTTTTTAAAGAAGAAAACTTAGTCACTTGATATTTGTGGCTTTTTGTTTTTTATAACCAACACCCCCTGAATCGACCCCTAAAAAAGATAAAATTTAAAAATACGTGCATATTTTTAAGTAATATTTCGCGTATTATTCAACAATTATATATATATATTTTTCTTTTTTTACAATATCTTTTGCTTTTCCTTTGTTGTAATGAGCTTTTATTTTTTTCTTTTTTAAGTAATGAGTTGAAAGGATCCAATTAAAGGAATGATTTAAACTTTTGATAATTTATCTTATAATCAGCGCAGCCATGGTCCTTTTGATATTGACCGAATATACACAACCAATTGATATGACCGAACCAAAGATAATAACTGCGTTTAACGTTAAAAATTTAAGATAAAAAGACAGCCGGTTCAATCGATTTCTTCAAATTTATCGAATATTTCTCTAAAAAAAAAAAAAAAGAAATAATATTATTCTGAATGTCATTATCCAGTACACATAAACTTCAACAATATATCGAAAAGAAATAAATCCTCAATATTCTTGAAATTTGGAATGCAAATATACACTTGTTTACTTAAATACTAAACCTTTAAAATGATTATTACGTGCCATCATCATTTACAATTGGTGTATATTCCTTTCGCTAAATATACAAGGTAATTATAAGATTTAATGATTTAGATTTTTTTCAAATGAAAAAAAAAATCATAAAGTATTAAAAGATATTAATCTCATTTGGTTTTATTCATTCATTATTATAAGCAGATGAAATTGATCCAAATGAACCAAATTAAACTATTTTTATTTTTATTTTATTTTTTACATGTATTCTTTTTTTTAAAAAAAAATAGTTAGCACGAAAAAAATGTTAAAATGTTTTCTTGGTTGTATTTTCTAATTTTAATAAAATATTTTTTTTTTTTTTCAAAAGTTACCTCCGCGCAGCAAATTTGCTAAATTTGTTGCGCGGAGGTGGTTGCTGAAACATTTAAAGACGCGACCTGTTGAATTTGTCAAAAGACACTCGATTTACAATCGGAAAAAAAAAATATACTGAAATATTATAAATTCGTTGGCGTTCATTGTGACCAGACATTTTGACATTTTTATGTAATAATGTCACACTACCTGAATGTACGTTTTTTTTTTTGACATTCAATAAGGTTTCGGATGTTGTCTATTTAGTCTATTGATGCGGTATAACTGTGTACATGTAGGCGCAATTGCTTTGATAATAGGACGAAATAAGAAGATCGAAAAGTTAAAATTTTAATAATGTCGAAATAATCTTTATATTTTGTAGATTAAAATATATTAGAAATATAAATATTTTTAAAAATAAAAAGAATTATTTATTTTATTTTTTTTTTTAATACCATAATATGTAAAATCTGACAAAATATTTGCAACGCATCTGCCTAATTTTCGTTTTACTACTAATATACTTATATGTGGTATCAATGCCTTCCTTTGTTACCACACAAACAGAGTTAACCGTTGAGCAAATTACTCGTCATCCGACGAATCCGTAATGTGTTGACATTAAGATTTGTAACTCATTGAAATTTATTAGACGAAGCAACAGGGAATGATAAGAACCAGATATTTCATTATTGCGATACTGAAGGTGCTGAATTACTTTGTGTAATTTTTTGATTGTTTTTGAATGGTGAAGTTACACTTTTGTTGAGTTTGGTAAAGTTGTGTTTTGGTTTAAATTTTGGTATAAATAATAACTAATGTCTAATCCTGTTTCAATTAAATGATTTTTGCATTAAAATTTGGTAAACTTCAATTCTTTTTGCTACATTTGTAGAAGAAATATGGTCTTGAATTGGTTGGAGAACAAAAATATTGCATTTCGTAGAAGACACGTTAACTTTTTGTCGATCTTCACGTGACTTAATCACGTGGATCGATTTTTATTGGTTAAAAGATAATTATCTAATTAATTTTAATTTTATTTAATTCTTCTAAAACAATATCTGGAATTCTTCTATGGGATTTGTATTTCTTGACAGCATACTCCGCCAATTTTCCACTAATACCTTTTTATAAGCATCCATACAACGCCAGCACTTTCTTGCAAATTTTCTAATCATAACTAATGATACAGAATTAAGACTTTTAAGTACTACTTGTTGTAATCCATTCTATGAATAATTGCAATTTTCTCTAGTATATCTTTTACAAGCTCCTCAATATCTTTCAATAAAATTTAGTTCACAATGAAATTTGGGATAATAAATACATTTATGATCAGTTTTTTCAATTAATTCTTCAATTACTCCTTTTTGTGCAAAAAAATCAGGTTCTAAAGATATTACTCGACGAGTACAATAAGAAGTTCTTGAAGAATCTTAAATTTTTTCTTTAAAATTTTTACATTCTAACATTAATCCTTTAGATGGCCATTTTCCTTACTCTATTAATACTTGTTTGATTCCTTTAGAGACTGGTCTTAAAGTTTTTTATTAAAATGAGTAGCTAAAAATACCATTGATTGTGGCTGTTGATTTGGTCTAAATAAGTATCATACATGATCAGTTGCTTACCACCAAGATTCAAATTCATTCAGCTTGCAACTAGGGCATCTTTTCCAAATGTAGCATAATTTGAACTATTATCAAAAGCAAATACTGCTACACAATTTGGATACAACGTTTCAAAAATAGGAATGGTTTTACATTTGATTTGTTTAAGAAGGTGTTCAGCTGTCTAATAACCTTCTTGATTTTTACCAGATTTTAAATAATACTACGCTTCTTCAGGTATATTTGGATTTTACAATATATTGGTTTATTGTAAATACAAACGTTCATCAATCTCAGTAAGAAACTCACTAACCATTATAGATTTTCTATTTCCTTTTTTCATAATAGTAGTTCTTCATTTTTAGCTCATACTCTACGTTTGCTATCATTAGAATAAAAAATATATTCATCATAAGTTATAAGAATTCATTCTTTTTCTTTTTCAGGCAAATTAGAATATATACGTTTCATTGTTTTACCTTCATACTTAAATATATATTTCTTATGTTCAAACATTTTTTTCAAAAATACTTTGCGATATTGTAAAACATTATCTCGTTCGTATCTATCATAATATATACCTTAAAATGAATAACTAAAGATATTAAGCTATCTCATTGTGATTATAGTCATTCCCCTTTATAGTCACCTTCTATATAGTCACTCCTCTTCTTTAGTTATACCAAAGCTCAATCCTGATTTTTAAATAATAAAATACCCTCTTTTTAGTCACTATATTATTATAAGCACAATCACACCAATTATCAGTCCTGGTATCATAGTAAATATAAGAAAAATACCCTTTGTATAATCACAGGTAAATCATGTGATTTAGTATTAATATGATGCGCTATAGAAAAGTAATCCATTTTTATATGTTACAAATTTATGCAAATATCTGTGAATTATTTGATGAATATCTATGAATACTTATATATTAATAAATAATCCATTAGAGTAATAAAATTTTTTAAAAAATTCTTAAATTCAAATGATGCAAAATCGATTGTTTGATATAAAAAATGTAACGGCAAAATATATTTTTTAAAAAAAAATCTTATTTTACCTGTCAGACACATTTTTTATATAGTTTTATGTCACGTAAATTGATTTAAAATCGTGTAAATAATAACATCGTGTTATTTGCAAAAAAATCTATTTATAGCATTATGATACGATATTACGATATATTATTACATTACAATAATATATTATAATATTATGTTTTAATATTAAATAGTATAATATATATACAGTGGTAAGCAAAAGAAATGCAACCACTATTGGTTACCTTTAAAAGCTTTTAACAGGTTAACTATGAGGGCTAAAATCATAATTTTATATTTAATTTAAAACCCAAATCTTAAAGAATAATCTGATATAATTTTTTTTTTTTTTTTTTGAAGTATGGCAGTTTTGCATGATCTTTATTAAATTTATAATATACTAAGTACATATAATAAAACAGAAAATACAAAAATATCTATAATATAATTTATAAACTAAACTACTTTATCAATACCAACCTTGCACTTTTCTGAACTAAACTATAAACAGAAAAGAAAAAAAAAGAAAACTTAACCAAACTAAACTATTATACAGCTATCAAATGTCCGAAAGGGAAGGCGCGGTTACTGCCATTCCAAAAATTTGACCAGTGAGAGCTATAGGTGGTAGCCGCTATAAAGGAAGTGGGATTTGATGTTGAAGGAAGAGGAGGAATGTGGAAAACCAGAGGAAATTCAAGGGATTGTATAGTCATCTTCAATGTTATTAGAAATTTTCCATTCGCTAAGAGCAGCGTTTCTATTGTTTCATATTTCATAATAAGATATAGAAAAGTCATGGTAAAGGATTGATAATAGACCATATGATAGAGCTGATGTAGATATACATGCAGTGACTTTGTTAGACAAAGACAAGGGTATAATTCCTTTGAGTAAGTCAATAATCCAATAGCTAGTTGTGGTAGATATTGAAGTCCAAATAGTATCTGATCATATTTTTTGTATTAGTGAATCATCCTCTAGAGTATTCAATTCCTGAAGGTGAGTGATAAATGATATTTTGTGTTTAGCAACAATGTCTTGTAGGGGCAGATTATTCGTTGGACATAGCCAAAGGTGATCAAAATCTTCAATATTAAAGCGACAGCAGAAACATTGTGCTGAGGTATATATGCTAGGAATGCGAGCATGTACTACTTCCATGGTAGGGAGCATTTGAAGCAACATTTTGATTTTGAATTTCTTTTTGAAGCATCCTGTAAAGGATGTTATACAAGACGATTCTTCATTATTGAGAATCTTAAAGAGAAGAGGCTAGTCAATCGATATGGTCTCAGTTGTGGCAATGACAATAGGGATTCAGTCCACACAGCTTGTATTCTGTTTTTGATGAAAAGACAATGAGGTGCTATAATAAAACTTGACTGATGGCAAAGATAATAACCTGGGTCCAAATGATCTTTGTTGATGGATAGTTGGTGAGCAGAAAGTTACTTTGCAAGTTTGTCTACTTTGTTGTTGAGGAGGTCATCAGTATGTGCTTTGACTTTGGTGAAAGAAACTGTTATGTGTTTCTGAGCTAGCAAGCTAAATAACATTGACCATATATGAAAATACGGAATTTTGAAAGCAGGGTTGATGGATAGTGAATCACAGAAGAGAAAGGATAGTTTATAGAAAGAGGAAATAGCAACTTGTGAATCAGTACAAATTTCAATAGTAGAATTATGAGACGAAACATAGATCGCGGCTAAAATAGCTACGATTTCTGCAAGGGTAGAAGAAAGACTTTGTGAAATAAGAGAAGCATTGAAGGATAAGGATAGCCAATTAGGATCAGACTGTAACCACGCAATACCTAAACGGACGTTTGAAGAGCCTAAAAAGATTAGGGAACCATCTGTATAAAATTGAAGAAAAGAGGCAGAAGTAAAATTAGCTTTAATATTATTAAGTAGATTTATTGAATGAATATCAAATGGTAAAACATTCAAATCAGGTGAAGGTTTGGTTGGATATTGATAAGGGTTAGTCAATTTAGATAGGGCGACTTCTCTTAGCATAAGGTCAGAAAGGCTACATCTTTATCCTATATGTTTGTTGTATTGTATTTTGATTTCAGTGCAGAATTGAATTGGAAGTTTAATTGCACAAAAATTATGTCTATTCTTGTGAATGGTGGTGACAATTGCTGTAGAATCAAAAAGACTGCATCTGTTGCATGGAAGTA